GAACCCTTGCTCATCATAACTTTATACTTGTTTCTTTGCTTTATAAGCAGTAGTAGAAAAAAATTTTTGAAAGAAATTATGCATTTTCACTATATAATCAATTAGAGTCCCAACCCCCACCCCTCTTCACCAGAACCCCTGACCCAGTGGCCATGAATTTCACAATTTTGGAAGAGGTATTCTTCCTTATCATAACCATGCACTTCCTTAGTTTGAATAATACCCAGGAGCAGAGAAGAAGATTTGGAAAGAAATTATGCATTTTCCCTATATAATCAATACAGCCCCGCCCTAACACCAGAACCCCTGATCCTGGGGCCAGGAAATTCACAATTTTGGAAGCGGCAACCATGCCCATCATAACTATGAACTTAGTTTATTTAATATCCAGGAGCAGAAAAGAAGATTTTCAAAGAATTAATGCAATTTTACTATATAATCAATAGAGCCCAACCCTAACACCTGAACCCCTCACCCTGGGGCCATCAATTTCACAATTTCTGAAAAGGCACTCCTGCTCATCATAACTATGTACTTAGTTACTTTATTTAATACCCAGGAGCAGAGAAGATTTTCAATGAATTAATGCATTTTCACTATATAGTCAAAAGAGCCCCACCCTAACACCAGAACCCCTGACCCAGGGGCCATGAAATTCACAATTTTGGAAGAGGCACTCTTGCTCATCATAACTATGTTCTTAGTTACTTTATTTAATACCCATGAGCAGAGAACAAGATTTTCAAAGAATTAATGCATTTTCACTATATAATCAATAGAGCCCCACCCTAACACCAGAACCCCTGACCCTAGGGCCAGGAAATTCACAATTCTGGAAGAGGCACTCTTGCTCATCATAACCATGTACTTAGCTATTTATTTAATACCCAGGAGCAAAGAAGAAGATTTTCAATGAATTAATCCATTTTCACTATATAATCAATACAGCCCCGCCCTAACACCAGAACCCCTGACCCTGGGGTCATGAAATTCACAATTTTTGAAGAGGCACTCTTGCCCATCATAACTATGTACTTAGTTACTTTATTTAATACCCAGGAGCAGAGAAGAAGATTTTCAAAGGAATAATGCACTTTCACTATATGATCTATATAGCCCCACCCTAGCACCAGAACCCCTGACCCTGGGGCCATGAATTTCACAATTTTGGTAGAGGGCTCAATGCTTATTACAATCATGCCAACAGTTTGACTGCTTGATGTCCAGGAGTAAGGAAGAAGATTTTTAAAGACTGCATTAATTTTGGTGGTTTTAGCCCCAGCCCTCAGGCCCCAGGGGGGCAGGGACCATGAAATTCACAATTTTTGTTCCCCTTCACCCATAGATGCTATATGCCAAATTTGGTTGAAATTGGTTCAGTGGTTCAAGAGAAGAAGCTGAAAATGTTCAAAAGTTTATGACCGACGGACGACGCACGACGGACGCCGACGGACGAAAACAGATAGCAATAGGTCACCTGAGTGGCTCAGGTAACGTAAAAAGTTCCAAAGGTTTCAAAGACTTTATTTTCATAACGAGTAATGTTTTGCTACATTAAATAAGGTCTTTTTGAAGAATTTCCTCTCCAATTTGTTGCCCATTCTATCAAATCATTAATTAAATTCTGTGGTCTTGTTTCATTTTTACAAACATTCTGTTCAGTTCTGTGCAAATTCCTTGGGACATGTCCAGTCTTGAAATCTCAATTATGTCGCTCTTAAATTTTTTTTATTTTGATAGAGCAAACATCATCAATATTCACCAAACCTTTCGTGGACTTTTCGATGGTCTGTTTATAGTAACATCGAACAGCGCTTCAAAAGTTTCCTTGGCTTCTAGTTCGATTGCATATAACAAAAAAATTCACATCTACTTTTTTCAACTATTGACGTTTCGTACATATATAGAGTAGACAGGCATTGTGAAAAACTTCACACATTGTTACACAATATAAATTAGGAAGTACAAACTTTCTCAATCCTGTGCTTCTGTCATTCCTCAACCACATATTCTGAAGTCTTTTGTGTGTTCGGTGTAAAAAGTCGAGAAAAAAAAATGTACTAGGATATTTTTGGACGCAAGGGCAGACATGTTTTTAAAAAAAATATTATAATTTGAATTTGTTACAAATAGAATTGGCGAATCCAACAAACTATATTGCAAATTGGTATGGCCTAAGCCTCTAAAATTTTCTGTGGCAAGATAATTAATGCCAGGGGGTTAATTGTACTGCTCTCTCACCCTTTTCTTCTAAGTTTACAATGAGAACTTTTTCAGTAATGATAAAATGAGGTTATTATCGGACTACCTGTTAAAATCAATTGCATTCTTGAATTTGCATAAGGAAGCAAAAATTAAAATAAAAAACAACAAGAGGCCCAAGGGCCTTGAATCACTCTTCTGATAAACTGTACAACTTATCATTTCTATTTGAAGACTCTAAGTATCCTGTATATTTAGATAAACCCTTGAAATTCCAATTCACACTCTGAGAACCCAAGATGATTCTAAGCCAATTAGTACCTGAGAGTTGGTCATGGTGACCTACTTATCACTTGTCATTCTCTGAGGACCCATCAACTAAGTTTGATGATTCTAAGCCAATCTATACCTAAAACATTTTTTAAAATTATAACCATAAAATTTTATAAGCAGGTCAAGGTGAACAACTTTTCAGTTGTTGTACTCCGAGGACCCCAGATACATCGACTGATCGTCTGATGATTCTAAGCCAATTAGTACCCAAATATTTAATTAAAGCCATAAATTTTCAAAAGTAGGTCACAGTAACCTACTTTTCAGTCAACCTACTCCAAGGACCCAAGATACATCAACTGTCAAAGTTTGATGATTCTAAGCCAATAAGTACCCAAAATATTTAATTAAAGCCATAAATTTTCAAAATTAGGTCACCATGACCTACTTTTCAGTTGTTGTACTCCGAATACCCAAGATGCATCAACTGACAAAGTTTGATGAATCTAAGCCAATTAGTACCCGAAATATTTAATTAAACCCATAAATTTTCAAAAGTAGGTCACAGTGACCTACTTTTCAGTTGCTGTACTCTGAAGTCCCAAGATGCATCAACTGACAAAGTTTGATGATTCTAAGCCAATTAGTACCTGAAATATTTAATTAAAGCCATAAATTTTCAAAAAGTAGGTCACGGTGACCTACTTTTTAGTCGACCTACTCCGAAGACCCAAGATGCATCAACTGACAAAGTTTGATGATTCTAAGCCAATTAGTACCTGAAATATCTAATTATAGTCATATAAATTGAAAAGTAGGTCACGGTGACCTACTTTTCAGGTGACCTTTTTTGAGGACCCAAGATGCATCAACTTACGATGTTTTATGATCATAGGCCTTAAAATGTCCAAATTATGCCTCTAAAACACTTTGAAATCGAATGCCTGCAAAGTTCAAAAAGTAGGTCACTGTGACCTTTTTTTTTTAATAAAAATTGTTTTATGGCCCCAGGATGCATCATCTTACAAGATTTAATGATTCTAAACCTCTCGGTATTCGAATTAATGACCTTAATTGTTTTGAAAAAGATTAGCTATAAAGTTCAAAAAGTAGGTCAAGGTGACCTACTTTTTAGTTGACGTACTTTGAGGACCCAAGATAGTTTGATGAACATAGACCTTAAATTGTTCAAAATATGCCTCTAAATCATTTTGAAAAAGAATGGCTGCAAAATTTAAAAAGTAGGTCACCATGACCTACTTTTGAGTCAACATGATATGAGATCCTTAGATGCATCAACTGACAAGATTTGATGATCCTAGTCCTTATAGTAAGCAAAATATTCACATTTTAATAAAATTCAATTTTTGGTCAACTTTGAAGTGACCTTGAGACCACGCCCTTTGCCCCAGGGTGATGCCTTGAACAATTTTTAATCTACAACATATCCTCATCCTTTTGTGTAAGTTTGGTGATAATCTGCCCAGTGGTTCTTGAGAAGAAGATTTTTTAGCAACCAGTACTTTTGTTTCTATTTCCCTAATTATCTCCCCTTTTTTTAGGGCCACAACACTAGTTTTAGTATAAAAGGGAGCCCTTGGGCCAAGGATACCCTGTGACAAATTTGACAATAATTGGCCAAGGGGTTCTTGAGTTATGGCCCATATTCTAAAAAGTTTACGCACACCGCACAAATGGCCATAGCATTAGATCTTTGAGCCTTTGGCTCAGAAGAGCTAAAAAGAAAGATATCTTTATGCATGTCTTGATTTTAGAATTCAATAAAATCATAACCCCTTGTGATTTTATGAACATTATTTAAATCCACATTTCAGAGAATGTAAACATAATTCAGAATTGACCTTAACTTCAAAACAAACTTCAGAGGTGTTAATTAATCTCAATATGACAGAAACAGACAATGCTTTGGATTTTCTTCAAGAGGAAAGTTAACTAATCCCACAGGACTAGTTGCAGCTTTCATAGTTTACAATAGGAACATTCTCAAGAGTTATCTCTCTTTGCCCTGGCATTCATTCTGAATCTACCTCACCATCCAAGCTCCAAACTGGATGAGACAGAGAACTAAACTTAGCATCAAAATATGTCTTACTGCCTTTTCAATCAACATACCAAATTTGAACTTATTTGATGAACTGTAAAAAAAGTTATGAGAAAAAACAGAAAATTTGTGGATGGAAGAATGACAGACAGACAGACAGAGTGATTACTATAGGGCATCCACAAATCCTTGCGGGGCCCTAATTAAATTTGTTTTTCAAAAATTCATTATATCGAATCCAAAATTAATTTCTGATATGTCCTAAATGTGCTTCTGTAAGATAGCAAATGACTCTTCATCTTCTGTATGTTATGTTTTGTAAGAAACAAACTAAAAATTAATGTCATTTTTCATACTGATCATAGTTGACCCTTTATTGTTACTTTTCCTTTAGTAAAAGAAAAGTAAGTTTGTCACTTTAGTACAAAATTGAAATACCCAAAGTTTATATAAAATAACAAACATTTCATCCTTGTGTGTCCTGGTCCACTGTCCCTTTCTGTCTGATCAATGATTTTGGACTCCCTCCTGCTATTCAATTTATTTTTCAGAAGTTTCTGTTTTTTCTGAATTGTCTTCTGTACACACTGCAGTTTCATCTCACTGGCTACCACTAAGTCTGTCAGTCCCTGAGTTAGATATTAAATTTATTAACTTAATATTTGATAAATAATAGAATGAGGATACTTCAATCTCTCTTTTAAAAGAGTAAGTAATAGTTCACATGTTAAACTTGACAAGCTAATTTAGAGAATTTGTGTCCCCCACTTAGGGAAAAAAGAAGAGCATGTGCAGTTTGGGGGGGGGGGATCCCCCCTTGATTTGTAGAATTATTAAATGTATACATGTATATTGAAGCAAATAAAAAATGCCAATATGGATATAAAGATTTGATTGCTTATTCTTTAATATGTGCATAGAAGATTCTTTTTGTACAGAATATTTATCACACTGTAATAATGATTTTATGAGTTTGTACAAGCCAGACGTCATAACTTTTTCATTTCACAAGCTGAATACTATCATTTATATAGTAAATCCAAAAAAAAAAAATTCCAAAAAAAAAAAAGGATTGACCGGGATTTGAACCTGGGGCCTCTCACATGCTAAGACCACTGATGCACATATTTATACAGCAAATTAAATGCAAACATTAGTCACATATAATGTATATATTCAAGTTCGATATTGTCAAAATTTTACACAATACATGGTGTCTAATTTAGCCTTTACTAAACAGTTCTAATAGATGTAATGAGAATATAAAGTCCGCAGACACCTGTATTATATGTAATAACTCTCCACATGCCCCTGTACTAAAAATAGTGCCAAGTGACTTTAAATACAGTAAAAAATAAAAAAGAAAAAATGGGGCAGGACACTTTGAGAGGGGCGAGACATGCCCTAGGGAGTTATGGTATAAAATGTCATTGCAAAAGCTCAAAAGCTTCTTGAGGTATCGCCCAGAAACGAAAATGTTACACACAGATGGAATGTATGAATTTACGACCTTGAACTTTGACCTCAAAATCAATAGGGATCTCCTATAGGCCACAGGGAGTTGTTACGTAAAATTTCATTGCAAAAGCTCAAAGGATTCTCGAGATACCATGGGGAAACGAAAGTGTTAAAACAGACAGAATTTATGACCTTGACCTTTTGACCTCAAAATCAATAGGGTTCTTCTTTAGGTCATAGGGAGTTGCCATGCAAAATTTCATTGTGAAAGCTCAAAGGATTCTCAAGATATTGTGCGGAAACAAAAATGTAAGAAATACAGACCGACGGATGGACAGACAGACGGACCCGAATTAATATCTCCCACTTTCAGTGAAAGCGGGGAACAAAAACTCCATAACATGAATTCACAATTATTACTTCAGCTGAAAGCATGCTATAATGACAAATGATGTTTTCACTTAAGCTTATTGCTGTGGCCTCTTTTTCCAACCCCTTTAATATTCAAAGCTGAACTATTTTACATGTATCCATTACTTTGTTGTCTGTGTGGTACAATACTTATGGAAATTCACATTATAAACAAGCCCTATAGTTTTATTAAAGGTAATTAAAATTGCCTACTCATGGGTGTTAAGTCTGGAATGTTGCGGTTGTCCAAGTTGGGTTTCAGTTGTGTCTCATTAATATATGGAGTAGGCTGGGCATTTCATCAATCAATCGAAGACACGTAACACCGAGCAATAATTTTATGGGGAATCTCAGGGTTGTTGTCAGTTTTCTGGAAAGAGGGGTGCAGGGGAGGATCTTGGAGAGGTACTCCCACCCACCCACCCCAATCCAGATTTTTTATACCTGCACTTTCTAAAGAAAGTTCAGGTATATTGTTGTTACTCACCCTGGGGTTCAAATGGGGGTCAAAAAATGACGGTTTTTTAATGCAAAAAGCCCCCTGGTTCCCTGCACTCCTCTTACATTTTACACAGTAGCCTAATCATCTTTTGGGAGATGGTTGGTGGTGTCATGTAGATGTGCAGTAAGGTTTTGGAATTTTCATTTTCACCCTGGGGGTCAAAAAATGACGTTTTTTATGCAAAAGCCCCTAGTTCCCTGAACTCCTCTTACATTTTACACAGCAGCCTTATCATCTTTTGGGAGATGGTTGGTGGTGTCCTGTAGATGTGCAGTAAGGTTTTGGAATTTTTATTTTCACCCTAGGGTTCAAATGGAGGTCAAAAAATGATGTTTTTTATGCAAAAAGCCCCTGGTTCCCTGAACTCCTCTTACATTTTACACAGTAACCTTATCATCTTTTGTGAGATGGTTTGTGGTGTCCTGTAGATGTGCAATAAGTTTTCGGAATTATCGTTTTCACCCTAGGGTTCAAATGGGGGTCGAAAAATGACAATTTTTAAGCAAAAAGCCCCTGGTTCCCTGAACTCCTCTTACATTTTACACAGTAACCTTATCATCTTTTGTGAGATGGTTTGTGGTGTCCTGTAGATGTGCAATAAGTTTTCGGAATTATCATTTTCACCCTAAGGTTCAAATGGGGGTCGAAAAATGACAATTTTTAAGCAAAAAGCCCCTGGTTACCTGAACTCCTCTTACATTTTACATAGTAGCCTAATCATCTTTTGGGAGATGGTTGTTGGTGTCCCATGGATGTGCAATAGGTTTCGGAATTTTCATTTCCACCCTGGGGGTCAAATGGAGGTAAAAAATTGTGGGTATTTTAATATTAAAACATCCTGGTTCCCAGAACTTTCCTTATATTTTATGCATTAGCCTAATCATTAAGAAAATGATTGGTTTTGTCCTGTGGATGTGCTAAATGGTTTCAAAATTTGCATTTTCATGTGTATGGCAAATAGGGGCAGGAAAAAATGGCCCCTTCCCAACCCATGGGGTCATGATTTGTACAAACTTGAATCTACACTACTTGAGAATGTTTCCATATTAATATGTCTAATCAAGAAGCATTTAGATGATTGTTTTCCTTTTATTCCTATATAAAACTTTGATCTTTGATCCCTTATTGTGGCCCGACCCTACCCCTGGAGGTCATGATTTGAAAAAAAAAACTTGAATCTACACTATATGAGGATGTTTCCATATCAATATGAATAACAAGCAAATTCAAAGAATTGTGGTCCCTTGCTTTCAGTGTTTTAGTGGATGGGGGGGGATCCCATTATTTATGGCATATTGTCAAAGAGGTAGGTTCACTTTATGCATAAAATGGCCCTGTAGATATACCAATTTATTGACTAACACCTTATGTTCCATTTTAAATATCAAGATAAAGTAGAGACTTAGTGCTTCCATTTTCTATCAAAATTTTTCTCCTTAAAGTCCAGATCTTGGAAAACAAGCTGTATGGAATTGCAATGTTCTTGAATTTTAGGAAAACAGGTACATTTAAGTACTTTCAGAGAAGAAAAATAATATGAGCGCATCCTCTGATCTAAAAAATAAAACATGTTTTGTAATCCTCAGAAACTGTTCTATCAGTAAATAATTGCATATTTTAGATCATAGATTGCACTCTATATTAAATATCAAAAAATATCTTTTAACAAGAGGCCCAAGGGCCTTCAATAGCTCTTCTGATAAACTGTACAACCTATCACTTCTATTTGAAGCCTCTAAGTATCCTGTATATTTAGATAAACCCTTGAAATTCCAATTCACACTCTGAGAACCCAAGATGATTGTAAGCCAATTAGTACCTGAGAGTTGATCATGGTGACTTACTTATCACTTGTCATTCTCTGAGGACCCATCAACCAAGTTTGATGATTCTAAGCCAATTAATACCTTAAATATTTAAAAAAAAATTAAAACCATAAATTTTATAAGTAGGTCAAAGTGACCTACTTTTCAGTTGTTGTAATCCAAGGACCCAAGATACATCAACTGACAAAGTTTGATGATTCTAAGCCAATTGATATCTGAAATATTTAATTAAAGCCATAAATTTTCAAAAGTAGGTCACAGTGACCTAATTTTCAGTTGTTGTACTCCGAGGACCAAAGATGCATCAACTGACAAAGTTTGATGAATCTTAGCCAATTAGTACCTGAAATATTTAATTAAAACCATAAATTTTCAAAAGTAGGTCACGGTGACCTACTTTTTAGTCGATCTACTCTGCAGACCCAAGATACATCAACTGACAAAGTTTGATGATTCTAAGCCAATTAGTACCTGAAATATTTAATTAAAGCCATAAATTTTCAAAAGTAGGTCATGGTGACCTATTTTTCAGTCAACCTTCTCCGAAGACCCAAGATGCATCAACTGACAAAGTTTGATGATTCTAAGACAATTAGTACCTGAAATATTTAATTATAGTCATATAAATTGAAAAGTAGGTCACGGTGACCTACTTTTCAGTTTTGAGGACCCAAGTTGCATCAAATTACGATGTTTTATGATCATAGGCCTTAAAATGTCCAAATTATGCCTCTAAAACGCTTAGAAATCGAATGCCTGCAAAGATCGAAAAGTAGGTCAGTGTGACCTACTTTTCAATAAATATGTTTTATGGCCCCAAGATGCATCATCTTACAAAATTTAATGATTCTAAACCTCTTGGTATTCGAATTAATGACCTTAATTGTTTTGAAAAAAATTAGCCATAAAGTTCAAAAAGTAGGTCAAGGTGACCTACTTTTTAGTTGACATACTTCGAGGAACCAAGATACATCAACTGACAAAGTTTGATGATCATAGGCCTTAAATTGTTCAAAATATGCCTCTAAATCATTTTGAAAAAAAATGGCCGCAAAATTTAAAAAGTAGGTCACCGTGACCTACTTTTGAGTCAACATGATATGAGATCCTTAAATGCATCATCTGACAAGATTTGATGATCCTAGTCCTTATAGTAAGCAAAATATCAACATTTTAATAAAATTTAATTTTTGGTCAACTTTGAAGTGACCTTGAGACCACGCCCTTTGCCCCAGGGTGATGCCTTGAACAATTTCTAATCTACAACATATCCTCATCCTTTTGTGTAAGTTTGGTGATAATCTGCCCAGTGGTTCTTGAGAAGAAGATTTTTTAGCAACCAGTACTTTTGTTTCTATTTTCCTAATTATCTCCCCTTTTTTTAGGGTCACAACACTAGTTTTAGTATAAAAGGGAGCTCTTGGGCCAAGGA